ATCTGAAGCAGGCAGGCTGTATTTGATAGTATGAGCAACGGTCAACACCGGTAGTGTACATTAATACCACACAGGTTAGTCCCCGGGAGGGAGATTTGTTGGGCGTGGCCGGGTTGCTGTGTCCTCGGGCCCCGGGGACGTGGCTTGTCTGGCGTGGAACTGCTGATTTGCCTGGTCGGGACCGAGACTGTAGAATACCGCGATGTGGCTGACACCGATATGCTAGGTAAATCAAATCATCAATTTTCATCAATTCTGTAGAAACGTTACCGTTTTTAGAATGCGTATTGTACACGTTAGTCATGTTGATGACTGAGTGGGTCATATTCAAAAGTATATGTTCGTCATGAGTGATATACAGGTGAGTACTTGGGTGGGTGGGTGGGTGGATGAGTGTTGTGGGTGGGTGTTTGGGTGAGTGAGTCGGGGTGGGTGTTTGTTTGGGTGTGTGAGTGATTGGGTCGGTGGGTGGGTGTTTTGGTCGGTGTTTGGGTGGGTGAGTGAGTGGGTGTTTAGGCGAGTGCGTGAGCGGGTTGTCAAGGTGGGTGAGGGCGTGAGTGGGTGGGTGTTTGGTTGGGTTGGTGGGTGTTTGGGTGAGTGGGTGTTTGGGTTGGTGAGTGAATGGGTTGAGTGAGTGGGTGATTTGGTGGGCGTCTGCTGGGTGAGTGAGTGAGTGTGTGGGTTTGGTGGGTGCGTGTTTTGGTCGGTCTTTGGGTGGCTGAGTGAGTGATTTGGTGGGTGGGTGAGTGGTCATGAGTGGGTGAGTAAGTCGGTTGAGTGATTTGGGGGATGGGTGGGTGTTAGGATGGGTGAGTGAGTGAGTGATTGGGTAGTGTTTGGGTGGGTGAGTGAGTGAGTGAGTGGGTTTGATGGGTGGGTGGATGGGTGAGTTGGTGAATGAATGGGTGAGTGAGTGAGTGAGTGGGTGGGGTGTGTTTGGGTGGGTGAGTGAGTGAGTGAGTGGGTGGGGTTTTGGGTGAATGAGTGAGTCGGTGGTTTGGTGTTTGGGTGAGTGAGTCGGGACAGTGCTGTATTTCATTGCGAGTCAGAGAAACACCATAAATGACAAGGTTCGCTGACATTCAGTACTGTGGTAAATCCCGCGGACACGGGTGTGGTTACAAGAGACAAAGAAGCATTATCTGGGCGAATCTGAGATTCAAACCCACAGTTCCTGTCACGGCTAATAGGCGGAACACAGACATGACAAATACGAAAACAGTGAGGATGATACGGAGACGGTCACCTCAGAAGAAAACAAGGCTTTAGATTCGACAGCCTGGCTAGAGACCCGTGTTATCCAGTTTATCCTACGGCATGTAATAAACAAGGCCTCAGGTCTCCGTGGAAGTTCATTAGTCTTTGTTTGACAGTCGATATTGTCGGATCTAAGTCTTCGTGTCTCTTTCCAGTGATAAGCTGCGATACCATTGGGTTACCCAAAGTCCTTGAGACAACGAACTCTCATTTATATACCATATAGATACAGCGCATTGTTCACCTTACATCGCATTGGTAGGGGCCGAATACAAAGTATCGTGGTATATTTTCATCAACCTGTATAGTAAGTTTCCAAAAAGGTTATATAATAATAATTCTGTTTGATGCTCATGTCCAGTCACTTCCCATTCGAAACCGTCAATGTGTGATTTTGCATCAAAATCTTTATATGAAATGTAGATGATGCGATGAATTTAATGCGACTTCCTACACATTGTCAGCGTTTTTGGCACAGAATCAGTAACACAGTTGCTCGGTCATTTTATTACCGCCTTCGCCATGCTTGTTGTTTTGACACAGAGGTCCATCCATGGTACGACCAAGAATATGTTGAGGGTGTCATGGAAAACGATAAATACAAAATTCTTTGGAACAGGCCCGTATCCAGATCTATACAGGCCAACAAACTTGATCTTGTCCTTTTTGATAAATCCCATGAAATCATTTATATCTTTGAATTTTGAATTTTCTGAACCTCTTGACACTACTGTGATGGACAAGATTCAGGAAAAACATGGCAAAAATGTGGACCTCGCTTTCGAAATGTCACGCTTGCACCCTAAGTACCAAGTTGTCCGACTCCCAATTGTTCTCGGTGCCTTGGGTTTGGTACCTCCCAAACTGTTGTCTGGCATTGAAAGAGTACCCGGGTTTGCTGTAAGGAATACAGCCCTTCTGACAATCTGGGTAATCCAGAAGGCTGCAGTGTTGGGGAGTCTTCACATTCTCCGAAAAGTCCTGGGTGGGTTCGATTAGGCAGGCTTCCCATTCGCTGTCTGGGCTGCGTGTAGAGGGGGCAAGGCCCTGAGATGATGATTATCCTACTACTGCTACTACTACTACTACTAATAATAATAATAATAAAAATAATAATGAGTGAGTGAGTGAGTATGGTTTTACGCCGCTTTTAGCAATATTCCGGCAATATCACGGCGGGGGACACGAGAAATGGGCTTCACACATTGTACCCATGTCGGGAATCGAACCCAGGTCTTAGGCGTGACGAGCGAACGCTTTAACCACTAGGCTACCCGACCGCCCCTATAATAATAATGACATCTCATCCCACCGAGTACCCATTCACAACTAGGTGAATAGAGGCATATTTCTAACAAAGTCACTTGGCTTAGGAAACACCACATGTTCTACATGTGCGTCAATGTTGGGTAGGACATTGGAGGACCGCCTCCGTGATCTAGTGGTAGCAAGTCCGCCCGGAGAGCCGAAGGTTCGGGGTTCGATCCCTGGTGGCGTCATACCATACGACGTTAAAAGATGGTACTTGTTGTTACTCTGTCTGGCGCTCGGCATTAAGGGCTAAACAAGGACTGGTCGGCTCGGAGTCAGTAAACTTTGTCTGAGTGAAGTATTCATGTTAAACTGCGGCATGGTATCTCAGTGGGCTAGCACTATAAATCGGCATCAGTCCAAACAGCCACACACACACGTGCATGCACGTCGCTATATAAGTGCAATAATCTTGGACGCTACGTTAAACCCAATTTCACCTCACCTCACCTCACCTCACCTCACCTCACCTCACCTCACCTCACCTCAGGAGTCGAGTTGTCGAACACGACGACCAACATTGCTTAAGTTCCCTTGATTTATGACCTGTTTCCATTTATGCCATTTACAACTTGTGTGAATATTTTCTTATCATTATGCAAATAAATGTTTAGAAAATCTGCTTACAAATACAACGTCAATTGGAGGAGACAGTCGCCAAGCCTGACGTTTATAAAAATGAAATCGAATCAATACGAACATTCTTCAACTGATGTCAACCATGCACCCAAAAACGTAACCACGGGCACGAGTTGAAAACTCTAAGGACACTTATTCCCAGAATGCTCTTTCCACAAACGTGATTGTAATGAATAATGTTATTTTCGTGTTCATTATGACGATAGCTCTTAGGTTTTCTGTACAAACAACCACACGATGTCTGACGTGGACGCTCTCAAGCCCTCTTGATATGCGCCCCGCTGACTGTGGTTGATTATTTGCGGAGCAGATCTATCAGCAGAGTGGCTTAGTTATATAAAGTGATAATCTTGTAAAGATTACCGAAATGATTAAGTATGGCTGACGATGTCGTTGAATTTGTTTCTGAACACTTCCTTGGTCGACCCTGTGTTGTACAAATCCCCGAGTAAACGGCCTTAAGCCAGGGATCAGTCAGCACTCGCTCACACGGGGGCGGGTATCGGGGGCGCTGTCAAATTTGAATTTCATTTAAAACAACATTCATCTCAGTTATAAAAAGAATCTGTTTCCCATATATCGTTACCGTATATTGTACTTAGAGCCCCTTTCCTAAAGTTGAACCATTCTAAATAACACACTACATTTGGTGGATCCATGGCAGAAATCCTAACTCTATTCATTTAATTGTTGCACGTGTAACCTCATAAAACATTTTGAGAATGTCCCTTCTGTTTTTACATCACGAAATTACACACGGGTGATAATCTGCAAGAGGAAGGGTCGTTCTCAGCTATTCTTCAATACGTCCTCCACGACACGAGGTATTTAAACATACCAAAAGTATTAAACTATTTGAAGAGTAATCCATTTCAATATACCTGGAATCACTTTGTAAAATCTAATGCTCAAACTAACACCCTTATTGACAGATCAGCCTTGAGACGTGGAATCATGCAGAGAATTATTTGCCCGTCTTATGGCATCAGTGGCTTCTAGCTGACACAACACACACGACAGCTTAACGGATGCACCCGTGTTAGAATAAGGGGTTTTATTGTGAAGAAAATGGCATGTAAACACTAATCTCTTACAGATTCAGATCTATATCGGGTTGTTTCATGAGTTCGTTAAGACCGAATTCAATTCGCATTAGAACCAAGCTGTCGGTTATATTTAGCGAAACGATTATTTTCAAACAGAAGGTTTAAAACAGGATTCAATATGAACAATATGATGTTTACTTGTGTAGATGGTGGGAAACTATGCCCTATGCGTCTTGGCATCTTCTTTGTTTGTTTGTTTGTTGTTTAACGCCGCACTCAGCAATATTCCAGTTATATGACAGCGGTCTGTAAATAATCGAGTCTGGACAAAACAATCCAGTGATTTATATCATGAGCATCGATCTACCCAATTGGGATACGATGACATGCATCAACCAAATCAGCAAGCCTGACTATACGATCCCGTTCGTCGTCCTTCCGACAAGCATGGCTTCTATTCCGGATCTTTACGGGTCTGACATCTTGAGTACGTAGCTCCTGCATACACAGGATAACCTCAGCCTTTCAGAAGGGAGAACACACGAGAATATTTTACAATTCTTATTCACAAGCCACCCGTTACGAATCAGTTCTCGATCACATTCCCACTTTCGCAAACGAATAACACATCCCAACTTTTAGACTTGGACAAAACTGCACGTGAAATGTGTCGATGGTCACGGTGCACGTGCGCCATGCAAGCTCCGTCGCGAGTTGATCTTCACAATGCACGACACAAGGCTCTTTGCTATTTCCTTCGGGTCCGAAACGAGTTTTTTTTATCAAGTGTTTACACACTTACGTTTTTAATACATGCTGACGGGATAATGGGAAATATAGAGCTCTGAAGAAGGACATGCATGTATGTTGGTTTCAATTGGCTATTTAATTACCTTAATATGAACATAATGTAACACAAGGTTATACATATTATTTACTGAGTTTTGGGGTTTCACACACATTTAAAAAAAAGGTAATAGTTATTTTCACAAGGTTCTGTCATATGCCTCCGTAGCCCAGGTCTGCTGTTACATGTCCGGAAATTATAGGATGCAGGTTCGAGCCCCGCTGGCGACACGTTCCCCGACAAAATGAGAAATCATTTACTTGAGTGTGAAGATAAAAAAAATATTTCCGTTTATTCCAAGTATACACAAGTGACTAGAAACTATCCACCCGGGAAAAAATAATTAATCGTTTAAACAATAGAGTGATGTCACAGTTGTGTTTTAACAGGGGAAAACCACTCACACAGAGTGAAACAGGTTAACTTGTACAACAAACCCCTTACACTTGCTTAGGATGACCCTGTAACCCACTCACTGAGGATAACCCTACTAACTCACTCAGGATAATCCAATAACCCATTCACTTAGAATGACCCTACTCGCTCAGGATATTCACTGAGGATAACCCTACTAACTCACTCAGGATAATCCAATAACCCATTCACTGAGGATAACCCCACCTACTCACTCATGATAACCTTACCATCTCACCCACATCCTCTCAAGTATGTGGTTAACCTTACCAAATCACTCAGGATAACGCTACATCCACCCACGCAGCAGAACCCTTCCAATGATCTCGACACAATCCTACACAATGACGACAACAACTCTGTTTACTGCTCTTTATCTGTTACATCATGTTTGAGATGAGGAAATTAGTTGCTCATGATATGACTTTTTACTTAAATCGATATATACATTGAAATGTAATTACGCTTCAAAATGCCATCCATTTAGCAAGACACCCATTTCATCACAATATTGAAGGCTATATTTTGGCAATATTTCGTCATAAAAATAGAATGGCTGTTGGGATATGCCGAATCGTGACTTGTTGACAGATCGCTTACGGTCTTTGTGCTAGATTCCCGAGGATGCAGAGTCCATGCATTCCCCGAGCCTCGGGGTAAGGACTACCGGGACTGCACGTTTTTACGCCCCCTCGTTATTTGGCCTCTGGGCATAAACACGGACAAATAAAACGCTTTTAAACCCATGGGCTTAAATTAATTTGACGAAGATGTTCTTCAAGTGTTGTAGCACGCTTTTCTATGGCCAATCTGCATCAACATTGCACCGTAACTGCTGTCAGAGGTTTCCACATTACCAAGCCACATTGGACCCCTAACGCTGGTGATATTCTGGATAATCAGTGCGACATTTCAAAGGCAAGTGACAGACACGCATTACTGCCATATTGGTTTGTTGTTACGTTTTTAACGACTGTCATTTCAATATGGAACGTGTTCTTGACTCATAAATTTTATAGTTGGAAAAACAAATTTTATATGATAAAGTGTTGCTCCCTAATTCCAGTTGTGAGTATTGTTTCATTAAACTTGGGGTAGACATTCTTCCTATCATGTTTTTGTCCTTTTCCGATTTGGACCGCCACCGTGGTCTAGTGGTAGAGCGTCCGCCCGGAGAGCGGAAGTCCGGGGTTCGATCCCCAGCAGCGTCATACCAAAAGACGTTAAAAGATGGTACTTGTTGTTACCCTGTATGGCGCTTGGCATTAAGGGGCTAAAACAAGGACTGGTCGGCTCGGAGTCAGTATGCTGTGTCTGAGTGGGGTATTCATGTTGAACTGCGGCATGGTATCTCAGTGTGCTAGCACTATAAATCGGCATCAGTCCGGACTCGTACAAGCAGCCACACACACACACACACATACACGTGCATGCACGTCGCTATATATAAGTGCAATAATCTTGGACGCGACGTTAAACCCCATTTCACCACACCTCGCCTTTTCCGGGGCGGTCGGGTAGCCTAGCTAGTGGTTAAAGCGACCGCTCGTCACGCCGAAGACCCGGGTTCGATTCCCGACATGGGTACAATGTGTGAAGCCCATTTCTGGTGTCCCCCGCCGTGATATTGCTGGAATATTGCTAAAAGCGGCGTAAAACCATACTCACTCACTCACTCACTTACTCACTCACCTCACCTTTTCCGATTTTAAGCCCTGGGCTTAAATTTGGATAAAATGTTACTCGATTATATAAGGCAAAATCTGTTAAGCCCAGGGCGCCGTTCCTCAAAGCACTAAGACGATCGTAACTCCCATACTTTAACACAGAATTACGAAAATTAAAGTGCTGAGATCGCTTGGTGGAACGGTACCCAGGGCGCCGTTCCACAAAGCGATCTCAGCACTAAGACGATCGTAACTCCCATACATTATACATAGAATTACGAGAATCGTAGTGCTGAGATCGCCTGGTGGAACGGGACCCAGGGCTTAAATACGTACAGTCTCGGCACATCACGGGCACCGCCAGGGGATTTCATACGGATCTGATTCACTGCAGAAAACCAAGCTTGGAGGAAGATCCGCTGTGACATTCTATTTGACAACAATAAACCCCAACCGGAATATTGTGATACCAAACATGTGCATTGTGTACAAGTGTGCAGTGCGTACACGGACTGCACGTCGTGTGTGCATTAAGTGGGAGGGACAGTATTTGTCCACGGGTGCATCTGTTGTGCATGTACTTGATAAGCGGTTCAGTCCAGGCACAGCGCCTTCCCAGCCTGTGGCGACTCACGTCCTGCACTCCGTGCGTTTGTTCATCTCGACACTCGCGTTCCCAGAGGCCTCTGGGCATCGGCATTCACTGTACAGTGTTGGGGAGATGCGTGTACATACTTAAACATTGATAAAGGGTGACTGGCTGCGGCAAATCTTTAGAACTGTTTTTAAATTTAAATGATGGCCCTTTTCACCCATTAGAGATAACATATTTCCCCACACCTTGCTCTTCTGTTGAATGAATCAGTGATGAAGACAAATATATATATATATATATATATATATATATATATATATATATATATATATATATATATATATATATAAATATTCAGTACTTATCTGTCCGCTATCCTTCCTTCCCTCGGCCGTGAATGCATTAATTCACAGGTTATTCCCATTGTATTAATAAGGCTGGTTTCAGTCGCAAGACATTATACGTATGCTTTAGACATTTTGTTCGTTTGTTTGTTTAACGCCGCACTCAGCAATATTCCAGCGATATGACGGCGGTCTGTAAATAATCTAGTATGGACCAGGCATCCAGTGATTGGCATCATGAGCATCGATCCACGCAACTGAGATACGTTGACATGCGTCAACCAAATCAGCGAGCCTGACCACCCGATCCGGTTAGTCGCCTCTTACGACAAACACGGGATGCTGAAGACCAATTCTAGTCCGGGGTCATTTTGTCATTTGGCTTTTCTTGTTTAATAACGCTTTTATTTCAAATGTCTTCGCTACTCATGGAAATATCAGTTTTGTCAGGTCGCATGGTGAGATAAACATTATTTGACAAGACAATCCAAATACCCCCTATATATTTTGACTGAATATATCGTATAGTGTTTCATCACTCCCTGAGTGACATCAGCCTAAACATATGTTCCGTATCTACCAATACCGACACGGTCAAGTCTAGACCTTGATTCCTCCCTACGTCCCGAATTATATGTCCAATCAAATGAGTGAGTGAGTGAGTTGGGTTTAACGCCGCTTTTATCAGTATTCCAGTTATATCACGGCGTGTCAGCTTAATGTGGGAGGAAAGCCTGAAGTGATGCAGGTCTTAGACGTTTACCACTTGGGTGAAACCCACAAGCACGGGTATGGTGCTGACAAACCTAGAAACATAATCGGGGCGAACCGGGATTCGAACCCACAACCATAGGTTTCTGGTGTGCCTAAGGGACGCAACTCTTCACAGCGAATCGCGGCGCCTTAGACGACTGGGCCACCCGTGCCCCCTCCAATAACATGACGGATCCTGCAAAATATGCAGTCTTTGTTCAGACATCCCCTGGTGACGTTGTTGCCGAACGCTTTCGGTGTTATCGAAGTCCGAAACATGTTTCGATTTCTCTTAAACTGTTGATTTAGTTAGTGATAAACAGTTGAATTTTAAACTTTCTTAAGAATTGCAAACTACCGATGAACTGAGTCAGTTGAGTGAAGCGTTCGTAATATCATTAATGACGGGTCTCGTTCGGTCGAGTAAACTGCGTCAATAATATGTACAACAGGCGAATCAAGACCTGATATTATTTCTACTGTGCACAATTAAAGCTGGTGTGTATGCAGCCATGTGACGACGTGTGCCTATACATGTATTAGGGTATACATCCTTCTTTGTCTACCAGGGGGCACGGGTGGCCCAGTCGTCTAAGGAGCCGCGATTCGCTGTGCAGAGTTGCGTCCCTTGGGCACGCCAGAACCCTATGATTGTGGGTTCGAATCCCGGTTCGCCCCGATTATGTTTCTAGGTTTGTCAGCACCATACCCGTGCTCGTGGGTTTCCCCAAGTGGTAAACGTCTGAGACCTGCATCACTTCGGGCTTTCCTCCCACATTAAGCTGACACGCCGTGATATAACTGGAATAATGTTTTTTCGGATTCAACAATACTCAATGGCGACACAATTAAGTCTACATCGCCTCTGGGCTGTGTTTAATAAATTTTAAAAGTTAATATACCTCAGTCAGAGTACTAAGTTTTTTTTATAGTTTTAACTTCCAACTGGTCTTACCTGCAGTTCTCGTTTCTATGACTCGTCTGGTAATTCATAACTCACTGGGCGCTTTACCGAGGCTGCCCCTCGGGTGTCTTTAGTGGAGTAGTTAAGGTCTTTAGAGTCATGCAAGTTTGAAAAAGGTCCGTGAAATAAGATTTACTTTTCTTTCGTAAAATGCTCACAAAGAGATGATGTGCAATTGCATGACTGATATAAATTAGAAAAAAATGTCTTGTTTCTCGGAAGAAGTGGGGATTGGGGTGGGAGGGAGGTCATTGTGACGACAAACTTGTGTTGCACGTGCAAACTTGACTATTGACTATATATGTCTTTATGATTTTGCAAGATATTCGAAATAGTTTTCTACATACGTAAGGGGCCATCCATTTTTGAGGAGGGGGAGAGGGAGGGAGTAGGTTTGAGATCGGCATTTAATGTTTAGGAGCTCAATTATGTTTTCCAACATAAACACGTGCTCAGTTGTTGTTCTTTTAATAAAGAAAATGACCTAACTGCATTATTTGGACACTTTGGTAAACTGTCTGCAAAGAGGGCTCATTATATACCCTTTTTGTTTCGAGATGATGATGATGATGATGATGGTGGTGATGATGATGATGATGATGATGATGATGATGATGATGATTATGATTATTATTATCGTATGATAACAAAACGATCAATTCGCTGCCACAGCTTCGTTGCGGAAGTGACGTCACCATCTCCTTCGACATCATCAGTAATGTCTCACGGAAATAGATCCAGGGTATTCATTAGAATAGAATGGGGATATAATGTACTTGGTAATAGAGCATGCGGCCGAAAGCACTTAAGTCAAAACGAAAATATTAACATAAAATACATCAGGGTGGAACTAGGCAGGACCCATAAAGCTGCTGGGTAATGGGGTGTGCAGGTACAAGGGTGTTTTGTAAGGTATTCATGTCAGGCAACGACAGTGACTCAGACAATTGGCATTGAATGATCTGTTAAGCCCGAATGGTGTTGGAGTTATGTTCAGGAAACAATGCGATAGTACATTGTTATAAACTGTATAATACCTAGCTGGAGCATATTTAGGCGTCTTGTCGCAAACGTTTGACGCGTATTTGCTTTGTTCATTCTTTGGAATATGTAAAATAGTATTTACAGCATGACATGGCTATTACAATTGCCCTATAGCTCAGACATGTCTGGGTGGTGAGTGAAAGTATACACTTAAACTTTTAGAAACCGGTTTTACCTGTACACCATACATAACCGTTTTCCTCTGTGTATGTTACACGTTATAGCTTTCCTCTGTGTATATTACACGTTACAGCTTTCCTTTGTGTATATTACACGTTACAGCTTTCCTCTGTGCATATTACACGTTACAGCTTTCCTCTGGATATTGCACGTTACAGCTTTCCTCTGTGTATGTTACACGTTACAGCTTTCCTCTGTATATATTACACGTTACAGCTTTCCTCTGTATATATTACACGTTACAGCTTTCCTCTGTGTATATTACACGTTACAGCTTTCCTCTGTGTATATTACACGTTACAGCTTTCCTCTGTGTATATTACACGTTACAGCTTTCCTCTGTGTATATTACACGTTACAGCTTTCCTCTG